CTCTCTCTCTCTCTCTCTCTCTGCCTTCCTGCCTCCTGCTCGCCTCCCTACAATAAAGATCTCCTGCCAGACCTCTCGGTGCGTGAGTGGCTTAATTGGGAAGGGGCACCCGAAAGGGCACGTGCACCCCCTTTCACTGGTTGCCTCATGATTCTGGTTGGGGAAAGAAAGAGGTATTAAAAACAGCAGTCGCTCAGATCATGAAGATACACAAGCAAGTGAGATGTTTGGACTTTCTTCTTCCTCTGCCCCCTCCCACCGAAACCCATGATGATCTCCCATATTTTTCAAGAATATAGATGAAGGGAGAGAGATTTAGCTCAGTGGTGCTACTGCCTGCCTCACAAGAGCAAGGTTCTGAGTTCGATCCCTGGTACCACCAAAAAAAAAAAGATTATAGATGAAGCCAGGCATGGTGGTATACGCCTGTAATCCCAGCACTCAGGAGTCTGAGGCAAGAGGATCTCCACGAATTTGAGACCAGCCTAGGCTACATAGTTTAAGTCCAGCCAGAACTGTATAGCAAGACCCTGTCTCAAAAAACAAAATAAAACAAAAAGCAAAGCAACAAAAAGCATAGGTGAAGCCATGTTCAAGGTAACATGTCTCGAAGGACCGTGACACTCCCCATCTCTGACTAGTCTTGTGTCTTTGTTCTGAGCCTCTCCCCGCCTGTCCACCTGAGCACTACTCCTTTCCATCAGGCCTGTCCTGCAGACTGACCGTGACCCGGGCCGAATCACTTCTTTGGTTTGTTTTGCTGTCTCTTGGTGGCTGCCTTTTTGGGAATTGTCCAGAATGGGCTGTCTTCAGCCATCTCTCATGGAGTCTGGGCCTCTGCCACACGTGCTCTCCAGCCAGATCCAAGCACCTATCGGGATCCCTACGCACCATCCCCTCCTTACCCTTGCCTGAGTACATGTCCACAGAGTGGCCTAGGAGGAGGCTGGCTCGCTTCTGAGGGTCACTGTCCGCAGCTCCAGCTGGTTAGGTTTGGAGGAAGGGTGTTCCTGAGACCTTTGGCCCAGAGTTTCAAAAGCACACGGAAAGGATCAGCAATAAGGATCTGATGGTCCCCTCAGGGAAGCTGGAGTAAATCTAACACACTGGCAGCAAACATTCCTGCTGGGGTGGTTGATCTGCCATTTAGCTCAGACGATAATTGAGTCGCTAAGAAGCCATCTCCCATTTTCCTGACATCACAGTTCAAAGCTTTGATGGCCAAGGTCACCCAGAATTGCAATATGAGTCTGGGTGCACATTATAGAACTACACAAAAAGCTCAAAACAATACAACTCTTCCAAGCTAATAATGTTCAGTGTTCATGCACAATGACAATATAATTGATCAAATGTTCCATAGTTGCTCTGAAGTGCTTTGTGAGGAAAGTGATTCAGGAACTTGTTCAGGTTTACTTCAGGCACTCGATGTCACATAGATTACAACTCTTTCCTAGGACTATATTCAAGGATGGGACGTGGTGAGTAGTGTTAGACACCATTTAGGACGGAGGTATGCTCTTTATTTCATCCCTTGCTGAATTTCGTCGTGTAACTCATGTTGTCCTTACCCTTCTTCATTGAATAGCTAGTAGCTCCTCTTTTCTTTTTGGTACTGAGGATTGAACTCAGGATCTTTACCCTAAGCTACAATCCCCAGCCCTTTGCTAAATGTATTTTATTTTATTTAAAAAAAATTTTTTTTTTAAATTCTCGCTCAGGCACGAAGGTACCCAGGCTGGACTCTATATTGAGATCCTCTTGCCTTATCCTCCCAGGCATGCACTACCATCCTTTTTTATATCTTTTTTCTTTTATTAGTGTGTGTTAATATTACATGATGATGGGGTTTATTTTGGAAAGTTGGTACATGGTACATGCAGTTAATACATCTTAACTAGTTCAATCCCATTACCTCCCTCACTCTTCCTCTTCTCCTCTCTCCTGCTTGTATCCAGAAGTCTACCTCCTGGTTTCCTGTCCTCTCTTTTATCTATTTCATTAATTAATTTGGTTTCTCATATAACTTTCTGAGTTGAATTTGGCTAATTTCACATAAAATGATAGTTTCTATCGCCTCGCACCACAGTATTTCTTAAGCCATTTTGCCCTATCTTTTAGTCATCAAATATTATGCATTTAATATGTACTAGGCATGAGAGGCATTTTAACCTCTCCTCATTCATCTAACTTATACTTTCTAAATCTAGTCGTAGCTAAATGCTACGGCTTGTTAATCTAATTTTTAAACTGAGAAGAAATAAAGTGAGAGAATCATAAACACAATCTCTCCTGATTCTGGATCTCCTTAGCTCCTGTCATGAGGTTAGGAACATGACAGAGACATATAGGAAAGGTCAAAGAACAAGGTTTTAGGCATTGAGGTAAATATGACAAAGGGGACAAGGTCTGAGCAGCCAGCATAAATGGGCAAATATTTGCAGAGGTTGCATTCCTTGCTGATCACAAGGGAAAGCAAATATATCCTTTTTCCATGGGACAGAGAATTGGGCAGAGCAGGACTGAGGAGCAACTGAATCTACACGGCAGCCTCACTCTCAGTAACTGGACTGTGTGGTAAACTGGGGTCCCTATAAGTGGGTGTAGATAAAACAGGAAGTCCTTGTGACCTAAAAATGGGGAGCGACCAAGTGGGAGCAATTGTGTTGTGTTTCCCATTTCCTCAGTCCTAAGCTAAAAAGGGCAGAAGCTTGGAAGTGGGTGATTGGAAGAGGTGCCCCTGATGGAGTCTTCATTGCCTTCAGACCACAACCCCTAGAGAAATGGCTTCTAAATTCTGGGTTTCTCCCCTTTCCAGGGTACTCTGTGCCAGACATGCGTGGCTTCAGACTCATCATGATACCAGCTTGTCTTCTTTGCTACTTCCTGCTGCACTCTGTGGATGCCATTTCATACAGAAAGCAGACAAACGCCTCAGCACCTCTTGTCTCAGCCTTGGGATCCCAACCACCCTCCTCATACCCCTTTTCCTGCCAGGCCCTGCTCCCGAAGTCCCTACCTGGCTTCACCCACATGGCCCTTCTACCCAAGTTCCTGGTAGGCCTGGCTCTAAGGAATGCCCTGGAGGAAGCTGGCTGCCAGGCTGATTTAAGGACCTTGGAGCTTCAGCTCTACCGCTGGGGTGGTCTGAAGGCTACACAGCTCCTCATCCGCCACCTTCAAGGGCTCCAGAAAGGAGGAAGCACAGACAGCAGTGTGTCGTTAGAAGCCCTGGCCTCTGCGCTGCGGCTGTTAGCCAAGGAGCACTGGAAGAGGGTCCGGCGCTCCCCCCACACCAAGGACTGTGAGAATACGAGGGAGGAGAGCGTCCACAATGTCATCCGGCTGTTGCCAGGAGTGGGAACCTATTACAGTATGGGCACGGCTTTGTATTATGCAATTCAGAATTGCTTGGATAAGGCCAAGGAACGAGGTAAAGATGGTGTCATAGATCTGGGTTATGACCTTCTGATATACATGGCTGGAATGTCAGGGGGGCCCATGGGCGTAGCGGTCAGCGCTTCGCTTAAACCAGCATTGAAGGCGGGGATAGAGCGCTTGATCCAGTATTACTATGAAGAGAAAGCGGCAGGCACACTTCAGCCAGCAACCAGCAGGGCAGAGCTGTGGACCACCTCCTCTGTGAGTGATTCGGAGGAAACAGTGACCACAGCTCCTCTCACATCCCAAGAAGCAAGTCCAGCTCCCTACTGGGAGTGGGCCTTATTCAACAGCCATGGGCATGTTGCAGTGTGAAGGTGGTAACCAGAGAATGAATAAATCAGACATTCTGATGTGCTGTATAGAATTGGTGTATGCTCAAGATACAGATTTCAGGGATGGGGTGGAATCCAAATCTCTGATTTGTTATCCAGAAAGAAGGCACTGCTGTAAAATGTATGAATTTCAAAGTCTGGGCTATGGGATGAGAAGATTTGGCTTGGAATCCAGTCTCTACTTGTTAGAAACTAAGTCATCACTGACAAGTCACTTCTTTCTTGAAGCTCAATTTTTAAATATCTAAACGGGGAGATGATTCTTGAGCTGATCAGGTTGTTGTGATAATTAAAAACAGTATTATAAACTGGGTTGGTGGCGCACACCTGTAATCCCAGCCCTCGGGAGGCTGAGGCAGGAGGATCGCTTTGAGTTCGAGACCAACCTGGGCTACATAATGAGTTTCAGGTCAGTCTCAACTACATGAGACCCTTTCTCAAAAAACCACACACACACACGCGCGCGCGCGCGCGCGTGCGCCCACAAAAACAGTATTATAAACCTAGTGCTATCACCACCATAACATCAATAAATCATCACTATTAAAGCCAGGCGTGGTGGTGTACATGTGTAATCTCAGCAGAAAGATCTCAGTGAGTTCCAGGCCAGTTTGGGCTAGTGAGCTCAAGGCCAGCCTGAAGTACATAGCGAGACTCTGTCTCAAAAAAGAAAAATCAAGATATATTATGTAAAGGGCCTGGGATTTAGCTCCATGCTTCCGCCGCCTGTCTCTCAAGCACAAGGTCCTGAGTTCAATCCCCGGTACCAAAAAAAAAAAGTGAATCAATAAAGTTAATTTTTAAAAAATCATTACAGGGCCAGGGATTTGGCTCAATGGTTCTGCCGCCAGCTTCGCAAGCGCATAGTCCCGTGTTCAATCCAAGGTACCAAAAAAAAAAAAAAAAAAAAAAAAATCATTACTTTTAAAAAAATTACCTCAGCCCTCCTTTTCCATCCCGAAGTGTCAAAATTCAGATCCCTCCCCCTTCCCTTGAAGAGGGTTCCTCTGTTCCGATTAGTTTCGGTTCCGCGGCCACTGGGGCCAGGGTTCTCGAAAGTCAGCTGTTTGCTGCCTGGGCGTTCCTTGTATTGGAAACCCGCCCCCGGCATGGGAGGGATTTGAGCTTTCTCACCAATCACTGGGGCTAGAAGTGTAATTTGGCGCTGGATTGAGCGCAATTATCCCGCCCACAGGGGGCGGAGTTGTAGAGGAGCCAGTCATTTTACAGATTGGGGAAGAGTTTGGCTGAGTGGCAGACAGTGCTGGGGCTGCAAATTGGGAAAAGAAGACTTCCCTCTACTAGCCGGGTATACCTGCGGGGGCGGTCGAAGTGGTGCGCCCGTCGGAGAACCTTGGCACCTCGGCTGTTTGAGGACGGAAGTCACGGCCAGAGCTCTGTGTGAAGACGAGAAGTCAAGGCCAGAGATAGCGGCGGGAGCTGGTACTGCGACCCTGACACGGTACAGACCCCAGAGCATGCGCGAGGAGGGATGAAGGTGTGAGGTCTTCCCTGCGGGGGGCGACTAACCCCAGGACATAGGCTGGCCCTGGAAGCGGCAGATTCTGACCTCTGCTTGAAATGGGAGCTATTTTCTACTCCGTTTTGGATTTTGCTCTCCTATCTAGCCTGGCAAACCCTAGCACTCGCCCCCACCCCCCAAAAAAGAACTACCTTGCAGTCTCCTGGATCCGAAACCTGGCAGTAGTACCGGGTCTGATGTTTTCTAAAGCTTTTGCTTCTGCCCTGCGTTACTTTCAATCTTTGAGGAGAAATGTCCAAAGATGTATCATAACTTTTTATATATTAGAGTGTATGCTACTGAAAGCTGAAACGATTTGCTAAGGTTACAAAATCTAGCTCATTTAAGAAAAAAAAAATTATCGACTGTATAATTTGTGCCCAAGAGAGCGAGAAAGAAAAAAAATTAAGCTCTGTGCATGCTATACATACCTGGGGAGACCAGTGCTTTTCTTTTTTTTTTTTTTTTCATATTTAAATCTCAGAGTTTACTTGCTGCTTTGCTGCCTTAATATGAGCCACTGAGTTCTTCAAAAATAGGGATCTTGGGTTGGGAGTACAGTTCAGTGGTAGAGTACTTGTAGTACGTGCAAGGCCCTAGATGGGTCCCCAGTGTCCCTCCAAAAAAGAAAAAGAAAAATCAGGCACTAAAAGAGTTACAGTGCAAAGTAGGTGCTCCTGCCCAATCCCCAGTTTTCTTTGGTTCATAATAAAATCACACAACTTTTTAAAAACAGATGTTCCTGTTTGCTCTGTTCTGTTAGGCTCATTCTGCAACAAGAATTAAGTTTTAGTTTCCTTAACAGGTGTCACATGACAGTGGTCAGGAGAAGGTGAGGAGAAAGATGCATGACACAACCTGCCTGGTGACAGGCTCTAAAAACACGGTTTTGTTTGAAATTTCTGTGTTTGCACAAAGTTGATAATCCACATGCAGAACAGAGATTGACAGAGGTCATAAAGATGTTAGTCTTAGAGACTGAATGACGCTCATGGTATTTAGACATTGTCTAGAATGGAGCCCCTTCCTACTTGGTGGGCAGTTTGTAGTTGCATTTACTTTACCTTGAAGGTTTCAGCCCTGAGAAGAGCTTCAAGGCCAACAGGGATCATAAATAATTAAGACCAACACTGATCTTTGTTTTCTGTATTTTTTTTTTACTTGTATATGATTTAGTCCAGCAAAATACCCAATTGAGAATCTACACCCTTTCAACTCTGAACCCAAATGGCTCAATGGGAGAGACTGCAGAACCTTGACAACCCATTTCAGGACCAACTGGACCAGCTGTACTTACACAGCCTCTTGCCGGTGGACATCCGACAGCACTTGGCTGTCTGGATTGAAGACCAGAACTGGTGAGGGTTTCAGGAGTTGGTAGGATAAGGAAGGTGCATCCTTTCTTGGAGCTCCCACAATCCTGGAGGAATCTCATAAGGGGTTGAAAGGCCTTAGGACAGCAGTTCGCACACACAGATATTAATCCTTGTCATTTCTGATCCCCAGGGAGGAAGCTGCACTAGGCAGTGATAATTCCAAGGCCAACATGCTATATTTCCAGTTTGTGGACCAACTGAACAATGAATGTGGCCGCTGCAGCCAAGACCCTGAGTGCTTATTGTTACATCACAACCTGCGAAAATTCTGCCGGGACATTCAGGTACTTGGAGGAAATGTGAATAATGGGGCGGACTGGCAGGCACATGTACAGTAAGGTTGGGCTGTGGTACCTGGAAGTGCGTGGATCTGGGGAAAGAGGGACAGCATCTAGACTTGGAGGAATCACTGGCAGACAGAAGGGCAGAGTCTAGACGACACTGTTGGGAGAATGTGCGTTTTGGGGTGAAAAGAAACAGGTGGAAACTCTAAAGGAGGGAAAAACACTAGGGACATTAGTGGGATGGAGTAGAGTGGCAGGTTATTGAAGGTGCTTAAATCAGATCAATCCTCCTTGTTTTCCTACTCTAGGCCTTACCCAAGGGCTCTACCCAGTTGGCTGAGATGATCTTCAATCTCCTTCTGGAAGAAAAACGAATTCTGAACCAGGCTCAGAGGGCTGAAGTGGTGAGAACAACTTGGTGTTGTAGTTGGAAGTTCCTGGAGTAGACTGGGACCATGGAAAAGATTCAGGGAATTTGTCTCAGAACAGATTTCCCCCATATCCTGTGGTATAATTTCAGGCCTGGGTTTTAGGGAGGAAAGGTCAGAGTTGAAATATGCTCAGAGCCTCTTATTTCAGGAGCAAGAAAATACAACTCTTGAAGTACCCATGGAGAGCCAGCAGTCTGAGATTGAATCCCGGATCCTGGATTTAAGGGCTATGATGGAGGTTGGTCCATGGCAAGAGATGGGGTGGGCAGGGCTCACCCTACCTCCTTCGTCAGTAGCAGCCTCACTCGGCTTCCATCCCTGCTGCAGATGCTGGTGAAGTCTATCACACAAGTGAAAGACCTTCACGATGTCTTCAGCTTCCGATATATGATACTCCAAAAAGGTAGGAAGTGCACAAAGGAGTGGGAGAGAGGACAGGTATCTGCTGGGAAGCCAAGGGTGGAGAGAACAGAAGGGGAATGCAGTGGACAGTAGCCACCTTTGGCCACATCCTGCTGCCATGAAGAGGTCAGAGTGCCAGCGTGTTTTGGAGGTTGGGCTGGAGGTGCAGGAGAGGGAGGCTAATGGCTGTTGGAGGAAGTGGGGAACTGCCCTAGCCTGTGGGGTAGGCTTCCAGTCTACTCAGAGCTGCCCAGAGTGCCTAGGCTTTGGATGGTTTCCCTTCTCCCTCCAAAGATTCCCCTTTCTGGTTTGGGCTGAGGCCCTGGGGCAGGAAAGAGGGAGGAGCCCTGGTCTAACCCCCACTCGTGCTGTTCAGGGAAGACATCCTCCTCAGATCCGCATCAGAGCAAACAGCAGCAGCTTGTGCAACAGACTCTCAATGAACTGGACAAGAGGAGAAAGGTGGGAGGCAGAGGATGGAGTGGGTGGAAGTGAACTGGGAAAACAGGAATCTGGGGGCCCTGGGCTGTTGGCCTGGGCTTCTTTTCCTCTTCCTCCTCAGATGGAGGGTGAAAGTGATGGAGCAGGTGCTCGGCACTCACACTGGCTCTCTCCTAGGAGGTGCTGGATGCCTCCAAAGCACTGCTGGGAAGACTGACCACCCTCATCGAGCTACTGATGCCAAAGTTGAATGAGTGGAAAGCCCAGCAGCAAAAAGCCTGCATTGGAGCCCCGCTGACGCTTGGGTTGGAAGAGCTGGAGAAGTGGTGAGAGGAGACGCATTTTCTCCCGGTCCTCATGCACACCTCAACCTTGTCTCAGCCGCTCCCTGTGCTCTGTGGGCTGTAATGCCCTTGTTGTGCAGGAGGTCTTGCTCTCACTGATCTGCTCCCCAGGGTGAGCCCAGCTTGCTAGTCTGACTGTAGCTGTCCACTGCTTTTCATCCTTACCATTCCAGGAGTCCAGGCTTGACTTTGGTGAAAACAATGGATTAATCCATAGCCTGATTTCATACTAAACTATATCCCCAATCTTTTTTAAAAATTTGTTACTTTAGGGCTGGGGATTTAGCTCAGCGGCACCATGCCTGCTTTGAAAGCACAAGGTTGAGTTAGATCCCTGGTACCGAAAAAAGTAAGAAAAAAAATTGTTACTTTATTTTATTTTGGGGGGATTTGAGACAGGGTCTCACTGAATAGTTCAGGTTGACCTTGAACTCACTGTGTAATCCAGGATGGCCTCAAACTCATAATGATCCTCCTTCCTCAGCCTTTTGATAAAATTTGTTACTTTGAGACAAAGTTTCACTAAGTAACTGAGTTGTCAAGGCTGAGTTTGAAGTCAGGATCATCCTTGCTTCAGCCTCCCATGGTGCTGGGATTATAGGAGTGCGCAAGCACACTGGGCTTCCGCTTTTGGGTGGCGCTGTTTTTGTTTTTTGAGACAGAGTCTCCTTATTTAGTCCAGGCTGGCCTTGACCCTATGTAGCGTAAGATGACCTCGAACTCACAGCCATCGTCTGGCCTCAGCCTCCTGAGTCCTGGGACTGCAGGTGCGCGTCACCACACCCAGCTAGGGCTGACTCAGTAGATCACAGTGAAGGAGCCGCTCTGGTACATATGAAACGCTGAATAATTTTATCATGAAGTGGAAAAAATTTCTAATACATTGTTTTACTTTCTTGCAAAATACCAACTCAATAGCCAGGCATGATGGTGCACACCTGTAATCCCAGCACTCAGAAGGCTGAGGCAGGAGGATTGCTGTGAGTTTGAGGCCAGCCTGAGCTACATAGTTCAAGGTCAACTTGAACTACATAGAGAGACCCTGTCTCAAAAAACCAAATACATGCATACATACACTGTACATATATACTCACTGTACATATATGTATACATATGTGCATACATACATACAGATATATATAGTGCTAAGAATAGGGCCAATATTTAAATTACAGCTATCAGCGTATTCATCACCATACAAGGGCTAAGGAGGGCCTGCAGGTGGTTTCTTGTTATTTTAGACAGTGATACAGTAACTATCCTTTTCTTATATCTTGGTCTGTATCCCTGATTATTTCTGTACTCTAAATTCCCAGGAGACCCTGTGTATCCCAGGCTGGCCTTCTGGGTTAAATATGGACTGCCTTTTCTCTGGGTGACATTATTATAGTTTTTTCTTAATAGTACTGGGAATTGAACCCAGTGCCTGCACAGAGTTACATCCCCAGGCTTTTGTATTTCTTTAAGTTTTAAGATAGGATCTTGCTAAATTTCACATGGCATGTAGCTCAGTGATAGCATACTCATCTAGTATGTATAGGGCCTGGGTTTGCTCCCCAGCACTGAAAAAACCAGAACAAGACAACAACACAAGGTGTGCTCATGCACACCTGTAATCCCAGCACTCAGGAGGCTGAGGTAGGAGGCTTGCTATGAGTTCAAGGCCAGCCTGGGCTACACAGTAAGACCCTGTCTCAAACAAACAAACAAACACTTCTGCAGTGACTGCTTGGGATCACATATAAATGTCATCTCTTACTAATTGTAGAACTTTGAGCAAGTCACTTAACCTTTTTTGTGCCTCTATTTTATCACCTATAAAATGGGCCTAATAATAGTATCTACCTCATGGGATGGTTGTGAAGATTAAATACACTAACGTGTTAAGCATTCATATAAATCATATATAGCAAGCATTCTATGAAAGTTAACTGTTATGTAAATCAACCTTTTAGGAGTTATGTATGTGGAAATGGCTTTGATTTACATCTTTGGCACTATGAATCATGTTACATGCTTCTTGGATTCTTCTTTTGTTCTAGTTTCCAACTGTCCACATAGTTAAGGGAGAACTCTTAAAACCTGCTTGGAGCTCCAGGAAATACAAGAATTTCCTTTTCTTGGATTCTTTTTTTTCTTTTCTGCTACCAGAGATCAAACTCAGGACCTTGCGCTGGAGAGGCAGATGTAGTGCCACTGAGCTAAATCCCCAGCCCCCTTTCCTTGGATTCTGTCTCCCAGGTTCACAGCTGGAGCAGAGCTGTTGTTTCACCTTCGGCAGCTGCTGAAACAGCTGAAGGAACTGAGCGACATGGTTCACTATGAAGGTGACCATCTGAAGGAACGGGTAGAGCTGCTGAATGCCCAGGTCACAGAGTTGCTACAGTATCTGCTGGACAGGTCTGAAGACCAGAGAGGGACTTCAAGGGAAAGAAAGAGGGAAGGAACAAAGGAAAAGATTCTTACTGATACTGAGCAGTGTATTCTCTTCATTCCTGTCTCCCCAGAGCCTTTGTGGTGGAGAAACAGCCCTGCATGCCGCAGACTCCCCATCGGCCCCTCGTCATAAAGACAGGGAGCAAGTTCACTGTCCGGACCAGGTTGGCATCTCACTCACCCTTCCACTGTGTCACTGGCTTTGACAGATCTTATAGCTCTTGACCTCCCTTTCTCCTTGATTCACCTACCTTTTTAAAAGCATTACCCTTATCTTTTTTGTTTTGTGTTTTTGAGACAAGGTCTCACTTTGTAGCTCAGGCTGGCCTCAAACTCACAGTATGTGCCAACACACCCAGCTAGACCCTGCATTCATTCATTCACTCATTCATTCATTCACTTTCTTTCTATCTCTATATAGTTGTTATTTTGGGGTTTTTGTTTCGAGACAGGATCTTGCTATGTAGTTCAGGCTGGCCTTAAACTCACTAGGTAGCCCAAGCTGGCCTCAAACTTTTGGCGATCCTCTTGCCTCAGCCTCCTAAGTGCTGGGACTATAGGCCCATGCCGCCACGCCTGGCACTTATTCTTTTTTCAAACATCTGGCCTAGCCAGTTGAAATTGGCCACTATCCTGTCCATCTCCTTCCTTAAGGCTGCTGGTGAGACTCCAGGAAGGCAATGCGCCACTGACGGCAGAGATCTCCATTGACAAGTAAGTTGGGGCAGGTGAGAGTAGGGCCAGAGTGGGGGGAACATGTGCAGGTAGGGCACAGGAGGTGCTCACTTTTTACAGTGGGACCCTGAGACTGTCTTTTATCCCTTGATTCTTTCCTCACAGAAATAAGAACTCCTCTCTTCTGTTGAGCATTCACTGTGACATACAGTATGTCAAATACTCATTTCATGGATTAATGACCCTCAAGTTAGGTATTATGCAGACAAGGAAATAGGCTCAGAGATATTATGCTTCTGCCATAAGACCACACAGCTAGTGATCTGCAGGGGTAGGTTTGAACCCAGGTCTGTCTCATCCCAAAGACCAGATTCCTGATTGCTGTACTCTTTTACCTCAAATGATTTTTTAAAATTTTCTTTTCAGGGATCCTCCTCAAGTACATAGGTAGGTACCTGACAAGGAAACTTGCATACATTTTTGCTCTGTGTGCATGATGCACACGGCCACATGTGGTCGCTCTGGTGGGAGCACAAATGGGCAGGAGGGGGGTTTGGGTGGGACCAGGACAAAGGGAGAAGGGAAAGTCTGAAGTGAAGTGGAACTTTTGTGTTGTTTTTTTTTTCTTGCTGAGTAAAAACTCAGACTAACTCTGTTCTTTGTCTCCATCTATCCTCTTCCTCCTGTAACAGCTTTCGAAAGTTCAACATCCGGACCTCAAACCAGAAAACTTTGACCCCTGAGAAAGGGCAGAGACAAGGCTTAATTTGGGACTTTGGCTTCCTGGTAAGAAGTATAAGTTGTCGGTATGCTGGTGGTTTCATGCAGCTACTTAGGAAGCCGAGGCGGAAGGATTACAAAAGTAAGCTTAAAACAAGCCTAGTCAATTTAAGCTCTGTCTCAAAGAAAAATTTTGAAAAACAAAACAAAAATTGGGCTGGGAGTATAGCTCAGTGGTAGAGTGCTTGCCTAGCATGTGCAAAGCCCTAAATTCAATCCCCAATACTCACAAAAGAACAAGAAAGGTCAGTAATTTAGGTTTACAGTCCAGAGGAATGGGCTGGCAGAAATTTCCAAGCCTTGAAGCAAAACAAGCATTTCAAGATCCTCGGGGTCCCCACTCTGGCATTGTCTGTCCTTCCCTTAATTCACAGATGCTTTTGGAGCAGCGTTCAGGTGGTTCAGGAAAGGGCAGCAATAAGGTAAGCCTGGGACAGAGGACTGGGAGGAGGAGGAACTTACCAAAGGGGCCTCTGATCGCTGTGTATGGCTGTTGCAGGGTCCACTGGCTGTGACAGAGGAACTGCATATCATCAATTTTACAGTCAGATACATGTACCAGGGTCTGCAGCTGGATCTGAAAGTGAGCAAGGGAGAGCAGGGAGAGATGAAGCAGATTTAGAAAGAAGGTTCAGGGAGGGGACATCCCTCCACCATGACTCTTGTCTTCTCCCAGACGGACACTCTTCCTGTAGTGATTATTTCTAACATGAACCAACTCTCCATTGCCTGGGCCTCAGTTCTCTGGTTCAATCTGCTCAGCCCAGTCCCCCAGGTAGGAGGAGGGGCTCACAAGTGGAGGGGGTTGGAAGCTTGTTTGAGGGCCTGTTTCGGAGCCACTCCCCTCCTCCCTCTCCTGCAGAACCAGCAGTTCTTCTCCAGCCCGCCTATGGCCCCCTGGAGATTGCTGGGCCCTGCTCTCAGTTGGCAGTTCTCCTCCTACACTGGCCAAGGCCTCAACCCAGAGCAGCTGGGCATGCTGAAGGAAAAGCTATTCGGTACCAATCTTCTTTTCTCAGCCTTTCCCCAGCCTTAGTCTGCCAGCCCTTTTTCCTGGCTCAGGACCCCTGCCTTGCCCTGCCTTCTGTCATCTGAATTACCTGTGGCTGCCTGTCCCACAGGGAAGACCTCTAAGATGGAAAATTCGTTGTCCTGGGCTAACTTCAGTAAGGTAACTCTTAGCATTCTGTGCAGCTAGTTCCCAGTCCAAATTCTGACCGTTCCCCCAACAGGGGCAACTCCGTATCTCTTCCTGCCTTTTCCTTCCCACTTCAGCGAGAGAGCCCCCCTGGCAAGATACCGTTCTGGACATGGTTGGACAAAATTCTGGAACTAGTACATGACCACCTGAAGGATCTGTGGAATGATGGGTAAGGCCTGGGTCGGCCTTCACATCCGGGCCTGTTTTTTCTGGGTTTTGGCATGGACTTTATGCACCCCCATGTGGCAAACAGAGAGCAAAAACTAGTGGAAGATCTCATTTTTTTCTTTTCTTTCTTTTTCTTCCCATTTTTTTGGCTGTCCTGGGGATTGAACTCAGGACCCTTGCACTGAACTACATGCCCTGCAACGTTTTGTTTTGTTTTTTCTTTTGAGACAAGGCCTAACTATCACTAAATTGTTTAGGCTGGATTTAAACTTGAGATCCACCTGCCTTGGTCTCCCAAAGTGGTGGGGTTATAAGCATGAGCCACCGTGCCCTGGGAGGTCACCTTTCTGAAATAATCGTGGCCTGTATTTGCTAAGCATCTACTAGTTCTAGAGCCTGCTGAATGTTTTGTGAATTCTCTCATTCCATCCTTGTGACCATACTGAGTGGTCCACCTTTATCTCAAATGAGGAAACTACATCTTAGAGATGTTAAAGAACTTACCCAAAGACAGAGTTAGGATTCTAGCCCATGTGATGCTTAAGATCATGGTGACTCTGCTTGGGCTTTATAAAGTGCTTTTTATCTGTGCAGTCTCACTGAATCCTTACACCCTTTGAAACCCTGGTTTGGGAGGGGCACCATTACTAAATGGAAGTGACCAAGATGGAAAAGTTTACAAGGGACAGAGCTGGGCCAGAACCCAGAGCTTGCCCCCACACAAGGGGTCAGCAGGATCTCACGGCTGCTCTCTGTGCTCCAGGCACATCATGGGCTTTGTGAGCCGAAGCCAGGAACGTCGGCTGCTGAAGAGGACCATCTCTGGCACCTTCCTGCTGCGGTTCAGTGAATCTTCGGAAGGAGGCATTACCTGCTCCTGGGTGGAGCACCAGGATGATGGTCAGCTGCTTTGCCCTGCCAATCCCACAGCCTCTGCTCTCCACCTAGGTCACCTACTGCCTACCCTTGTTTTCCTGGCCTCTGTCCTGAATCTTGGATCTGCTTTAGAGTTGGGCAGTGGGGTGGGAAGCCCCAGACCAGCCTCTTCTCTCTAGCCTACCTGTTCCTGCATCTGCTCTCCAGATAAGGTGGTCATCTACTCCGTGCAGCCCTATACCAAGGAGGTGCTGCAGTCCCTTCCACTGACCGAAATCATCCGCCACTATCAGCTGCTCACCGAGGAGAACATACCAGAGAACCCACTGCGCTTCCTCTATCCCCGCACGCCCCGTGATGAGGCCTTTGGGCGCTACTACCAGGAAAAAGGTGGGAATCACTGACATACTTCATTCCCAGATTGAGTGCAAGGATTCTCAGACATCCGTACATCCAACGCCTTCCTTTCAAACATGGGAACACAAGTAGCCAAGTAGTTCAGGGATTTATTCACGGGCTGTGCTAGTTAGCAAGGAGATAACAGTTTTCGAGAACAACTGCATAAGGGGAGACCTGAGCTCAGGGTCCATCAAACTGACCTCTTGGCACCTGCTGTGTCCCCACAGTTAATCTTGAGGAACAGAGGAAATACCTGAAACATAAGCTCATTGTGGTCTCTAACAGGTGAGATACAAAGTCTTTCTCCGTCTTCTTGAATCTTTTTTGACTGTTTCAGTGACTAATTTGCCCATTTTCAATCCTGCCAGCCTTCACTCTGTACTACTTTTCACCCTCTCACTCTTTGGTTCTTTTCATTCTTGTGTCTGTCTTTGTTCATGTGTTTTCAGCTGCCATCCTTAAGTTAATGATGCTCATAATCAGTGGTATTTTTTTTTTTTTTTTGGTACCAGGGATCAAACTTAGGACTTTGTGCTTCTGAGGCAGGAACAGTGCCACTGAGCTAAATCCCTGGCCCTTATAATCACTGGAATTTATGGGTACCTATCTGATGCCACACGTAGTACTAGGTCTTCTAAAAACTTTTATTTACTTATTTATTTATTTTGCAGTACTGGGGATCGAACTCAGGACCTTGCATTTGCAAGGCAGGCGTGGTACCACTGAGCTAAATCCCCAGCCCAAAACATTTTTGTTTTGATGTTTTTGTTTGTTTTTGGAGACAGGGTCTGGAATCCATGGAAGTTCTCCTGCCTCAGCCTCCTGAGTGTTGGGCTCACAGGCGTGTGCCATCATGCCGTGTGTCATCTATCTGATACCAAGCATGATACTAGATTTTCTAACTTTCTTTTTTTTTGTACTTGGAATCAAACTCAGAACCTTTCACTTGTGAGGCAGGCGTGGACTCCACTAAGTTAAATAAATCCCCAGCCCCTCTAACTTACTTTTTATTTGTTTTTAATCTTCTACGTCAACTTTTTTAAAATTTCCACATGTATGTGAGTGTATATGGTATTTGTCTGTCTGACTTCAGGTAACATTGTCCCTCTACATTGCCAAAAATGACAGCATTTTATTCTTTTTACGGCTGAATAATATTCACCTGGGTATTTGATTTAATAATCAGTTGATGGACATCTCAGTTGATTCCTTTTTTTTTTTTTTTTTTTTTTTTTTTTTTTAACTTTTTCAAGACAGGTTCTAGTTCAAGCTGACCTTGAACTCACTATGTAGCCCAGGCTGGTCTCAAATTTACTGTGATTCTCCTGCAACAGCCTCCTGAGTGCTAAAATCATAGGCACATACCACCATACCTTCCTGGTTCCATATCTTACTTTTGTGAATAGTGTTGTAATGAATAGATAGATATAAAATAATATTCACACATATTTTGGTACTGGGGACTGAATCAGGGCCTCTGCACTGAGGTACAGTCTAGTTTTTTTTGTTTTTTTGTTTGGCTTTTTTCACTTTGAGATGGGTACTTACTAAGTTGCCCAGGGCTCTTGCCTCAGCCTCCAAGAGTGCTGGGGTTACAGGTGTGTGCCATCACACCCACCTGTCGGTATATCTTGGATATACTGATTTTATTTCCTTTGTGTATATACCTAGTAGTCAGATAGCTGGATCACGTGGTAGTTCTACTTTTAGTTTTCTGAGGAACCTCCATAGTGTCTCAGAGTGGGAATTCATTAGTAATTGCTGTACTAATTTATATTCCCACCAACAGTGTGAGAGTTTCCCTTTCTCAGCATCCTCACCAGCACGTGTTATTTAGGATTTTTAAAATTATAGCTATTCTAACTGGGGTGAGATTTCATTATGGTTTTGATTTGCATTCTATCATGAGTAATGATATTGAGCATTTTTTTCATATACTTTTTGGTCATTTATATATATCATCTTTTTTTTTTGTACTGGGACTCGAACTCAGGGCCTTGTGCTTACCGGGAAGGTGCTGTAGCACTGAGCTACATTGCTGGCCCTGCATATCATCTTGTGAGGAAAAAAAAAAGAACTCTTACATATTGTTGCTTCTATTTACAGATGATAAATCTGAGGCTCAGAAAGTTTAAGTAATTTATCTAAGGTCACCCAGCTAGCAAATGATAAGATTCAAACTCTTAACAAGCTTAAAGGCCATGCTCCAGTTCACCTAAACTACTGAGCTCTCCTCTTCTCTGTTGTGGAGTATCTAGGCAGGTAGATGAGCTGCAGCAACCTCTGGAGCTTAAACAGGATCCAGAACTGGAGTCCTTAGAGCCGGAGCAAAGGCTGATGCCGAAGCTAGAGCTGGGGGTCGGCCTGGATTTAGAGCCACTGCTGGAGACAAGGCTGAACCTGGGCTCAGAGCTAGGGCCTGTGTTGGAGCCCCTGCTGGAGCCAGGGCTGGTCCTGGAGCCCACACGGTTCATGGCATCACAGCCAGTGCCAGATTCAGATTTGCCTCATGATCTGCAACACTTAAGCACTAAAGACATGGAAAGTAAGTATGAGATGGGGCAAGGGAAGAGGGGACACATTCCCTTTTCTTTTCTTTTTTTTTTTTCCGGTACTGGGGATCGAACTCTGGACCTTGCCCTTGTAAGGCAGGCGGCGGCACCACTGAGCTAAATCCCCTGCCCTCCTTTTTCTACCTATCCTTCCTCACCCATTACAGAAGAGTCTGAGCTCCAAGCTCCTCACTGAAGAGAGGTTCATTTCCTGCTGATTCCTTTGATTAGGAAATGCTCCTGTCTCCCCCACCTTCTCTGTTTCTCCATCATCCAAGTCCCCAGCCTACAGGCCCCGCCCAGACCTTTCCTGCCCTTCTCCCTTACTTTCCCTGCTGGGCTGGGGACTCCCAAGTGAGATCAGGGCCTGATTTCTCTCTTCGGATTACTCAGTTTTCAGGAACATTGTGAAGATTGAAGATATCATGCCACATGGTGACCCACTGTTGGCTGGCCAGAACATCATGGATGAGCCTTACATATCCTGCCCCAGCCATTTCTGCACAGATGGACCCTTGAATCCTGACTGCTAGGATTCAAGCTGCATTTCCTCTGTTCCTTCTATTTTTTGTCCTTCCTAGCCCCCACATCATGTTGTTGCTCTCCAATGATGGGAAATCCAGCATTTTAACCTGGAGTTTGGGGAGAGGTGAAAGCATAACTTGGGTATGGAAGGGACACCAATGAACCAGAACACGTGCTGGCCATAGTTCTGAAAGGCTGGCTTGGAGACTGCCTTCTGTGCCGGGTGGTACGGGGTTCTCAGGGCAGGCCAGGACATTGGTAGGTACTTGGAGGGCTTAGGGCAAGGGCTTCCTTCCAAGTATGAAATGATACCAACATTTTAGTAGAATCCCCAGCTAAACTCATACACACTAGCATTAGGTCCTGATGGGAAACTGTACAGACACATGATAGAATTCCACCATCCCCCCTTCTCTGTTTTAGGTTTTGTTGAAGTCAGGACTTCATGCATGTTAGGCAAGTGCCGTGTAACTGAGCTATACCCCTAGCCCTCCATCTCTCTCCTCTTGTTCCTTCATGTCTAGGATAACCTTTTCCTTTTACTTCTGGCTCCAGTCCTAAATTTCTCCTTTTCTACAAGAGCCAAGAGCTTCCTGCTTCAGCTCACTAATCAAAGCTCCTCTCTGAGGAAGGGCATAGGAAGAAGAACTCCTCTTCTTACCAGGCTCCTGCTCTTCTCTGCCCCTAGGCTACCTGCATCCATTCCTCTCCCATAAAATGACACTGCTATTCTAACATGCCTGAAAAACTTCACACGATAATTTAGGTTGCCAAATCTTCACTTGCCCAGTGCTTAAGAGATAAAAATCACTCCTCGTGGCTGGGATAGAAAGTTTTCTGGGAATCTGGGAATTGGTTTTTGTAGTATTATTTTTACAGAGGAAGAGAAGCACTCAGTCTCAGCTATTTTTCTAATAAGGTATCATTGCTTCTTTTGTAAATATATTGTTTCCCTGAAAGGAAGATTTCTATTTCTTGAACCTGAGCAGAGATGAAGATGCTAGAATTTGGAATCTTTAAGGGATGGGGATTTAGGTCAGTGGTTCCCCTGCCTGCCTCGCAAGCATAAGGTCACAAGTTCAATCCCCGGTACCAAAAAAACAAGGAATCTTCATGGTTGATCATAGAACCCTGGACGTCCCCACACCTTAAGCCATTCCCAGGGAACCTCAGGGGCAACTGTCCTTTCTCTAAGATAGGTTTCTGGTGTAACTTAAAATACAAATGAGAGGCGGGCATGGTGGCACACACATGTAATACCAGCACTTGGGAGGCTGAGGCAGGAGGATTGCTGAGAGTTTGAGACCAACCTGGGCTCCATAGTTCCAGTGCAGTCTGAACTATATATTAAGACCCTGTCTCAAAAAATAAATTTTTAAAAAGTGTAGTCCTGCACATGTGGTTGTTTTCCTGCCTGGAATGTCAGTGGAACTGTCGTCCTGAACTGAAAGGGCCCTTCCTGAGCAGAAATACCTAATAAACTTTGTCCTGACCTGGAAGTGCCTCATTGAAGAGCTTCACTTCTTTGCTCACAAAGATTAAAGACCTTAAGGACATCAGCATATAGGAATGAGGCCAGCAAATTGTGCCTCTCTTCCATTCACCCTAGGAAGTCCCTATTGTGTTCCTTCCCTCTTGCTTGGAGCAGCCCTTGCCCTTCAGACCTCTTTAGTATGGGGGTTAGTGGTTAAATATCACTATCACATTGTCACTCAAGTGACTGGGGCAATATGACAACATAAACCCACACCTGGCTCCACCCATGTTCTTTTGATGCTGGGACTATGGAGAAAAGCAAAGGAAATAATCATCAGCCCCTTTCCTCTTTTTATAGAAAAAAAACTTGAGACAGAATCTCATGCTGTAGTTCAGGCTGGCCTCAAATTTACAGTGACCCTACTGCCTCAGCCTTCTGAGTGCTGAGATCATGTGTGTGTACTGCCACACTAGGCTTCCAAATTCCTTTCTGAAAGGCCTATGGGGGTCTCTTAAGGGAGAACCACAGTGGTTTAGGGAATTTATCATCTCCCTTGAATGCCCTTCCTGCTCACAACTCAGCTCTGACTGATCCTGCAGTGATCAGGTTCTTGTCTTTGACTATATTCTTGGGCAAGAAAGCAAGGAAGGAGGTTGTGGGTGAGGGAGCAGGCACCCTAAAGGTGTACCTCCACTTGCTAATCACAACCCCTTGTAATCCCATTTTGCTTGTTCAAACATCCACATCTAAATATATATACATATATTTTTTTTTCCTTTTTCTGATTTTTTGAGATACAGTCTCACTATGTAGTTCAGGCTAGTCTTGAATTCGCTGTGTAACCCAGGCTGGCCTCGAACTCATGATGGTCCTCCTGCCTCACCTCCCGAGTGCTGGGACTATAGGTGTGCGCCACCACGCCCGGCTCCAAATCTTTACAACAGGGAGTCAAAAGAATATCACAGGCTGGGTGTGGTGATGCAAACCTGTAATCCCAGCACTCGGGAACTGAGGCAAGAGAATTGTGAGTCTGTGGTTTGTGAGTTTGAGGTCAGCCTGGGCTACATAGTTCAAAGCCAGCCTGAACTACATAGTGAGACCCTGTCTCAAAAACAAAACAAAAAGGAAAAGGGAAAGAATATCACAGACCACCATAGCCCTTCAAAATAGGAGAACGAGTGTTTTGTAATCCCTTGGCCCTACTTTTCCTTTACTTTTTTCCAACCAAGCCTAGAAATTAGACTCAGAGAGCCACATAAATAAGTCTTTATTGAAAAAAATAACAATTCCTTTTAAATATAATAAATAATCCTCCCCAAACTGCTCCTCTGATGATAAATAATACCAAAATTTCCCTTCCCATCTAATAAATATGCAGCTTTGTCACAGGTCAGCATCATAAGTCAGTGTCGGTCGTTTTTTAGCAAGCAAGTCCTATTAGAATTAATGGACTAATTAACTTGCTGGCCTTCAAGTGTCTGGGTGATGAATTTGTGTTGTCATTGCTGATCCACGGAGAGTTGAGTGCCATCCTTAAACTGTTGGTGTTAGGGGCTCAGGGTTGCGGCTCCGTGGGCAAAGACACGGGCAGCCACAGCCACAAAGGCCTGGAGGCTGCGGAGGATCTTGATTCGAAGAAGGAGGCGCTGCCATGGCTGGCTGGGATTGAGGCTGGGAGTCTGAGTCTCCCATCGATGATCCTCAGGCTGAAAGGAGACAGGACACACTCAGGGTTCTATATCCTAGCTCCCTACAGACCCTCACCCTTCAGGCCCCTGGTTCTTACCTGCAGGAGTTGGCTGAGGCCCACCAGGGACGCGTGAAGCTGGCCTACGGGGCCATCGGGGAGAAGTGAAGGTTCCCCTGTGAAGATGTCTGAGCCCAGCAGCTTCTGGTAAAAAATTAGACCCTGGTAGATCTTCTGCAAACAGAACTAGGGAGGGAAAAAGGAATGAAAGCAAATGGATATTCTTGTTCATTCACTGAAGATCAACCCAATTCTTTACCGTTCTCAGACATAACTTGTAGTTCACTTCTGTGCCCACCCGTGTTTCTAGTCCCCTCAGCCTTTCATATTAGTGATACCTCACTGTTGTCCTTCAGTCCTTGTGGATCACAGCCATCCCCACACAGAATATGGGGGACATCATCTGCGGTCTCTTCATCTCCCTCTTCCCTTGGTGGGTCCTGGAATGAAGGGAAGAATACTTTTTTGGTGCTAAGGATGGAATCCAGGGCCTCACGCACGCTAGGCAAGAGCTCTAGCACGGAAACATCCCCAGCTCAAGATAAGTATGAAACCCACCAGACCCTTAGGCTCATGCTCTCCTAGAGGCCCAGGCTCCTGTCCCCTGATGGCCTTCAGTCCTACAGCTTCCACGCGATGGAACCGCAACCCAACTCTGCAGCCTCCTAAGGCCTGGAGAGGTTCGTGTTGTCTGGTTCCAGGGTTAGACACTCACCACATGTCCCACTGATGGATGTGCACTCCAAGCCAGCGTGCAGAGCTTCTGTGACAGCTGCTGGCACTGGGCCCAGGCAGGGTTGTTGCTCCCAGGCACAGCCCGGCCCTGAGCAATCCAGGGGAGCAGCAGTAACAGCATCACAGCTGTGCTTCCCAGCATCTTGTCACCTGCTTCTCAAATCTGGCCGGCTCAGTGTCTTGCACCAGTCCTGGTGGAATCTCTGCCCACTTCCCCTTGCTCTGAGCCTGATTCTCTGTTCTGTGTCTGGTTCTGGTTCTTGCTGTTGTTCACAGTGTTTCTGAGCTGGTTCCCCTTGTTTTTCTCCCTTTGTCTGAGTCTTTTTAAGGTCTCTGCAGTGCAAGGCCCGCCCTTTACACTAGCAGGTGACTCACAGCAGGTGGGATTCCCCTCCCTGCATCATCTTTCTCAGTGGAGAGCCCAGGTATGTATCCTCTGTTGCAGGGGAAATGAGTAGTAGGTTGCTGTGGCTAGAGGCCTAGGATGGGACACATGTGTAACGCTCTCCAGGAATTGAAATGGCTGTAGAGGGGTGGGGGAAGTAACAAACATTTAAATTAATCTGGCCTCAAGTTCCTTCCTGATTAATGTCTGTGATCTCTTGGCCTCCCAAAGCTTTACCCCTACCCTAAAACTAATTTCCTCACTTCCTCTTGCTTGAAAAAAAAAAAAAAAAAAAAAAAAAAAAAAAAAAAAAAAAAAAGAAGAAGAAGCACTTACTCATCTCCCAGAGGGATGGTAAGGGCAAATGGAATGAAGTTTGGTTCCTACCTGATGCCCACTATGTAAGAATAAAGGGCTTCTTTTTCACTGTTGGAAACTTATTTTCACTGGTGCTCCTGGCTTTGTGGTAGAGGATGAAAATGAAGGCATTCTGTTGACTAGGAAGCCCTATGACTACAAGGTATTACGACTCCTCCCCTTCGGGCCTCACTGTGGAGAACACTTGTAAGGAGAGGTTTAAAGCCCCCATTTTTTAAAAACCCATTTAATGTCCCAAGGTTTCATGGGCTCTGTGGGAGTTTTTTCAGGACACCAGTGCAAGCTCTCTGCCCTATCCCATTGTAGCCTAGGGATTCTGGAGTTGAAGATGCTGTTGAGAGTCCCTCTGGCTGATCCTTCAGCCTGTTGCATCCATGGGTAAAATCCACTGACGCTGATTTCATCACCCTCTCTGATGCAACATCCAGTGAAACAACTGAGTGTGGGGTTGGGCGTGGGAGTGGAGGGTGGTCTGAAGCTGGGGCTGCCCCAACCCCAGTGGAGGGTCCCAGAACAATTTGGACGTCAGAATGAGCCATGGGTGACCACGCAGCTGGCTCGCAAAGCCTCCCAAGAAGTTGACTCTTTTCTTAGAAATTTGCCTAGTGGAGATCTCCCTTCCCTTAGAACTACTGCCCATTAAAATTTCTGGTGTCTGTGGTAAATTGACCCTTTAGGTGAAACATTTCCACCATCAGAGCATTATCTTTTTTGTGGGGGTGGGGATGGTTTGCTTTTCTCTACATAGGGTAGACAGAAATGAAATAAGAAGTTAGAAAGATGATACAGGAAAGTTCCTCTTACTTTGTACAGTGTCTCCTATGCTCTTCCTACCTCTGGTCCCCATTCTGGGTACCCTAAAAACTGGAGAAGGAAGTGGAGTCCTGGGGATTAGGATGAGATGGGTAAGAGTGTCCTAGAGATGTTGGAGGTGCAGAGCTCTGGCCTCTTTTTCACTTCCTGGTGCTGCCGTGGTTGGGTAGGAAGCAGGGTCAAGTGGGGCAACTGTGGGACTGTTGTGTAGCAGGAACTACTTCCAAAGCCATCTCTGACCTAGAGCTCCAAGAAGCCCTTGACGTCAGCTGGGCCTCAACTGTTATGCAAATCATATTCACAAGGACTTGCAGCTGGATGTGCAGACTCCAAATCCTGCGGAAGTTCCCCCAGGTGGTTAATAATCATGGGTAATACATATCCAACTCTCACTTTATGCCAACTACTTGGTGTAAGCATTTTACATATATTAGCCTATTTAATTCTCACAACAACCCTATAAGGTAGGTACTATTACCACCCCTATATTATAGATGAGGAGTCTGAGGTGCAGAGATAAGTTCTTTTGCCAGCGATCACAAAGCTACAAAGTTGGTAGAATTGCAGCGCAGATAATATGGCTTCAGATCTTGTATTTTAGCTGGACATGGTGACACATGCTTCTGTTCCCACCAATCAGGAGGTTGAAGCAGAAGGATTGTCTCTGACTTTCAGGCCTGACTGGGCTACATAGTGAGTTCAGGCCCCGGCTTGAACTATGTAATCAAACCCTGTCTCAAAACAAACCAAAAACATCCTACATACTTTTTCTTTCTGTTTTTGGAGACAAGGTCTTACTATGTAGTCCAGGTTGACCTTGAATTCGTCATCTTACTACATCACAGATCCTGAATTTTTAAAAACATACTGGGGATTCAACCCAGGGCTTTTACACTGAGTTAAATCTTCAGCCCTTTTTATTATATTTATTTATTTTTTGGTACTGGGGATTGAACTTGGGTCCTTATTCTTTGGAGGCAGACGTTGGAACCACTGAGCTAAATCCCTCACCCAGCCCTTTTTATTTTTATTTTGAGACAAGGTCTCACTTAAATTGCTAAGTTGTCCAGACTGGGCTTGAATTTGAGGTCCTCCTGCCTCAGACTCCCAGAGTGCTGAGATCAGAGCATCCAGCTAGAGCCTTCTTGCTTTCTACCTATTTATTATTTTGGTTGTTTTGTTTTGTTTTGTTTTTGTTTGAGACATGGTCTCACTATGTAGTCCAGGCTGGCCTTGAACTCACAGTGATCCTCTCCTGCCTCAGCCTCTAGGATTACAGGCATGCACCACCACACCAGGCTAGATCATGCATTTTTTTTAAATTTAAATTGAATTTATTGGTACATTCTAGGTAGACAGTACAGTTACATTCATTACTGGGATCTTGTACCTTTACATGCCAGGTCTTGGTTCTCATTTTTTCCCCTTATCCCCACCCTCCCTTCACCCCCTCCTCCCCTCCCCACCTTCAAACACTTTAATTCTATTTTTACATTTTCTCATATTTTTTTCCTTTTCCCTTATTCCCCTTTCCCTATCCTTCTCGATCATGCATTCTTAATGATTGCACTACATCGGATACTTCAAGGTGATAAAGTGTATCTTGATTTATAAAGTAGTTTATTTAGCCCAGGATAACTCACATAGGCTTATAAATTCTTTCTTAATTTGAGAACTCAATAGGGGATTTTCCAAGATTAGGAACCGTTTAGGTCTTTAGCTCCAACTTTTTTGTGAGATTTTAAATCTAAGGACTTGTGAGGTCTCCTTGAGAGACTCTTGAGTTAAGGTGTTTTTCTCTTGGTCTAGTAACTGACTAAGTCTAGGACCTCTTGGAGTCCTGGAAATCTAAATTCCCAGAGCACTCTGTGTGTGTACGTGCGTGTGTGTGTGTGTGTGTGTGTGTGTTTGTGTAAGTGTTAGAGATTGAACACATGGCCTTGTGCATGCTATGCAAGTGCTCTATCACTGAACTCACATTCCCAGCCCTTGGTTCCTTTAATGAAGGTCTACCACCCTTTTGTGGGAGAAATGCTTCAATTGTTTTTTATTTTTGGAGGTGCTGGAGATGGAATACAGGTCCTCTCTCATGCTAGGCAAGTACTCTACTACTGAACTATATCCCAGCCAAGATACTAAAACCATATCTTCAGTGGGGCACGGTGGCTTGCTCATATAATCTCCAGCACTCTGGGAGGCCAAGGCAGAAGGATCACAATTTCCACCCCAACTGGAAATTTGGCAGTTTAGCAGATTAGCCAGACCCTGTCTCAAAAAACTGAAAAAGGGCTGAGGATATGGCTCAATGCAAAGGTTCTGAGCGCAAACCTCAGCACTGCAAACAACCTATGTGAAGAATTTCACAGTCCCTCTATGTGGCCTTTAGAAACAGTAATGCCAGCTGAGCTACGGTGCCCTAAGACATCTTATAGCCTGGACTCATTCCAAAGCTGTTCAAACTCATAATTGAGCCCCAAGAATACCTTAGAAATCATGTGTGATGGCACAGCGTTGTAATCCTAGCACTCTGGGAGGCTGAGGAGGGTCCCAAATTTGAGATCAGCCTGGGCAACTTAGTGAGACCCTATCTCGAATTTTTAAAATAATATCCGCCGCCTGCCTTGCAATCGCAAGGTCCAGAGTTCAATCCCCAGTACCAAACAAATAAACAAACAAATAAATAATAAAGGGAGCTGGGGAAGTAGCTCAGTGCAAAGGCTCTGGGTTCAATTCTGTGTGGGAGGGAATCCAGATTAACTGTAAGCGGCATATCTTTACCAAATGTCCCAATTTGCCCAATTTGCTGTACACATCCCCCTCTGAGAGATAACGTCCAGCTCCTCCAGCTAGGGGAATTTGACAGTCGGGAGGCTCTTGCTCCCTGGGAATATTAACGAGGGGCTCTGGGGAGGGAATAACCATGGATGGGAATTTCAGATGGATGTCTTTATTAAATGTGGCCGCTTGGGCAGAGTCAGAAGTCCGGCTCCCGCTTCCTTTTTCTCTCCCTTATCTAGAAATCATAGGAAATGCCAGCGAGTTTCGGGGGCACAGGGTCATATGTGGCAGGCTCACAGGAGCTCCACAGGACAGAGGATGGACTAGGCCAGGCTGGGAATACCCAGCAGCATATTTCCAGCGCTTTTTCTTACGTGCCCCTCAGTCTAGTTTCTAAAGTTACAGAGAATCTAAAAGTTCAGTTTCCAAGCCTGGGGCTAGTTTTGTTCAGGAAAGTTTAAACTATAAAAGTTTGCTTTTCAACTTCACGAAACCAGCCCGCAACCAGCTCGATTTGTCCCAGTCGGCGGCCCGTAACCATGCTTTTGCCCAACCCTGGCGTCACACTCCTTCTTCCGGAAGCCGTCTGTACCTTGCTCCTCCTGATTGGCTTTGATGCCCTCGAGCCCTTCCTGATTAGAAGCTACGATTGGCAAGTCAGCTGTCCCCTCCTGCCGTATGTTAGGTTGAGTTTAGAGGCGCGGGGGAGAACTGGGGAAACTGGAATTTCCCGCGGAGCTGACGGCGCTTGCTCTCCCCCTACTCGTTTTAATTCCACGCGCTCCAAAATATCCGCCATGGAGAAATCTTGGTAATGACCCATTCCCCGTAAGCACCCCAGGAACACATCTGACCCTTGTCCTCATCCCTCCTCTCCCTGTCAAAGGGGGAGAATTGTGGGTAACCAATTTCTCTGGTTCCCCCAGAGAATTCTGGGTAGCTGTCCGTTTCTATCACCTTCCCCTAACCCCAGCCACAATTGTGGGTAACTGGCCATTCTTATTGATTCCCCCTAGAGAATCCTGGGTAACTACTGCAGAAGATTCTGGGAAACAGTCTTGCCTTATTTTCCTCACTGACCCCTCCCCACTCCCAATTCTAAGAAACAAGCACCTTAGACCTAATTGCAACCCTCCGATCCCCGCAAAATCTGCTCCCTTCACCTGATGGTTCAGGGCTGACCCAGGCAAGTGAGCATGTCTGAAGGGAGGAGAAAGGGAAGTTAAGGATTAGGGTAGTGGGGTGGTAGACAGTACAGAGGTCAAGAGGAGGGGAGTAAGGAATAACCCACATCCTGCTGCCCAAATCCTCCTGTCTACTTCAGTGTCATCCTTTAATGCCTCCTCACACTTCTACCCACATAACCCAGAAGACAATAAATTCCAGTACCTGGGCCTATCCCTGACTCAGCTACCTCTTTCCCCTTGCAGGCCAGGATGTCCTTTCTAGGTCCACTGGTGCTGTTCTGCTGAAGGCTGGGTCAGGTATCCACAGGACTGTGTGATACAGCTGCAATCATATCATCACCATGAACTTTGAGGGTCTGGACCCTGGACTGACAGAGTATGCCCCAGCCATGCATTCTGCCCTGGACCCTGTCCTGGATGCCCACCTGAACCCAAGTCTGCTACAGAATGTGGAGCTGGACCCAGAGGGAGTGGCCATGGAGGCTCTTCCTGTCCAGGAATCAGTGCACATAATGGAAGGTGTCTACTCTGAATTGCACAGCGTGGTGGCTGAAGTGGGTGTGCCTGTGTCAGTTTCCCACTTTGACTTGCACGAGGAGATGCTATGGGTGGGAAGCCATGGGGTAAGAACCACACCCCTTTATGAGTTTTGAAAGGACATATTGGAGGTCTTTATCTGGTCTTTGCCCAAGGATAGCTGCTTTGCAGGGATCCATAACTGAGTTGAAGTGATGAGATATAGCTGGTCTCTTAAGTCAAACCAAGGGGAAGAGGTGGAGGAATAGGGAAGTCTTGGCTCCAGAGATGAGTTGTATAGGCAATAGTTTTCATTTACTTATTTATTTAGAGATATGGTCTCATTGTATAATTCAGGCTGGTCTTGAACTCTATGTATTCCAGGCTGGCCTTAAACTCATAGCTGTCCTCCTGCCTCAGCCTCCTGAGTGATGAGATTACAGGCATGCACCACCACTCCTCCCAGTGGTTTTGTTTTCAGAAGGCATCCCACTCTTAGCACAGTTCCATCCAATGTTTTCATTAACTACCCATCACTTAGTCTTTAATGCCCAAATCCATTGTTTTCCACTTTTATAATTGTAGAATATTTCTGCATGTATTACATGGACTCATTTTGTCTTCTCTGGCTGGCTTTTAGTCTGTCTCAGAGCATGTCAATGTTAATTTTAAAAAAAATGTATATCCATATCAGTATGCTATGAGACCAAAGGTTTTTTTATAAGAGCTCATATGGTGACCGTGATTTACTTTAGTACCTTTTGTAGGGCCTGAGTTATTTTTCCATTAGAAGAAATGAATTTGGTGTATATGCCACATTCAATTCAGTAGGTTGTGTCTATTACTGTGTTAGGAACAGAGACTAAAGCTGAGTAAAACATAATTGTTAGGCCGGGTGTGGTGGTGCACGCCTGTAATCCCAGCACTGGGGAAGCTGAGGCAGGAGGATTGCTATGAGTTCAAGACCAGCCTGGGCTACATAGTGAGTTCCAGGTCAGTCTCAACTACATAGTGAGACCCTGTCTCCAAAAAACAAAACAAAACAAAATAATTGTTAGCTGGGTGTGGTGGTACACACTTGTATTCTCAGCTGCTTGAGAGGCTAAAGCATACTAATTGCAAGTTTGATGTTAGCCTGAGCAACTTATCAAGACCCTGTTTCAAATTAAAGTAGGTCTGGGAATGTAGTTCAATGGTAGAGTGCCCACCTATCATGCACAAAGTCCTGGGTTTAGTCCTCTGAAGCACATAAAACCAAACAATTCTTGTCTTCATGTAGTTCACATGACAATGAGGAAAAAAAGACATAGAAACAAGTAGCTGGGCATGGCGGCACATGCCTGTAATCCCAGCACTTAGGAGGCTGAGGCAGGAGGATCTCTGTGAGTTCAAAACCAGCCTGAACTACGTAGAACCTGTCTAAAAAGCAACAGCAACAACCACAACAAAAGACAGAAACAAGTAATTTCCTAGCACTTGGGAGGCTAAGGCAGGAGGATCGCTGAGTTCAAGACTGGCCTGGGCTACATAGTGAGTTCCAGGTCAGTCTCAACTATATAGTGATTCCCTGTCTCAAAACTGCCCCCCACAAAAAGAGGTAATTTTCTGGATACTAAGTGCCAGTGTGAAAATATCTCCTGGGTTCTAGAGAGCATGAAGGAGACTCAGAGAAGGCCTCTAGGGGAGGTGACATCTTAACTGACGTGAAGGAGGGGAAGGCTGTATTAGTATAGGATAAAAAATATTTCTAAAATATTACACAGCACAATTAGTATAGCTCACAAGGACCTATAAGCAATTAAGATTTATTAGGCTGGTTCAGGGATTTAGCTCAGTGGTTCTGCTATCTGCCTCACAAGTGCAAGGTCCTGAGTTTGATCCCTGGTACCCCCGCAAAAAAGATTTATTGGGTTGGGAAAAAAAAAAAAGATTTATTGGGCTGAAGCTGAAGTAGTTTATTTGTTCACCAAGGTTTTTTTTTTTTTATTTTTTGGGGGGCGCGGTGCGGACACAGGATTGAAATGAGAATCTCCCATGAACTTTATCACCAAGCAATACTCTCACCCCCTAAAACCATGCTTCCCCCTTGCATGCAGGCTAGATAGATAGACCATTCTAGACCCTTTAAGACAGGGTCTTTTTTTTTTTTTTTTTTTTTTTTTTTTTTTTTTT